ATAGATGCCAAATCATGGATTACCTGTGGAGCTGAAATAGTGATTTGCATGGTCTTAGGGCATCCTTCTTACATTGTGGTAAGAAGTAAACAGTTTGTGCCACATCAGTGAGTTCTGAGGGCAGTAGTAGTGATTTTCTATAGTTCCTGTAATGATTTGTTATGATATTAGATGACCTTCTGAAACCTTCACCTTCTAGAAGTAGGTAATTTATATGAAAATTACAGTTTTCCATTTAAAATTAAAACAAGCTTCCAGTCTTCATGAGTGTAGAGACAGACAGGAGATGTAATCTCAGTATACCACTCAAATCAAAAATCAAAAAAGTAACCCCTTTCCCTGCTCCGGTACCGAGCATTTAAACCTCTTTTTCCTTCTCCCTCCTTGAAAATACTGGACCCTGCTCTGGAAGTTTTGAATGGCTGAAGCTGGAAGTATTAGGGAAGACGTTTTAGGTGCTTATGCATTTTCTGAAATTCTGTTTCCACTTTTAGTTTTTGTCTTTTTCACAATATTACCTCTTCTTTTCTCAAATCGAGGGCCTTGCCAACATTTTTTTCAATGTGAGTTTCTCAGTCACTTTGGCTTTGTTCTTAGTCCTTCAGGTTGGAGCCCTACAGCATTCCTATTCTGGATATCTAGTCTGCCTTGACTTTGAAAGTCGTAATTCTTTGAGTCTGATAGGCTGGTTCTTGTATAGCTAAGATGATTGTTTTCTGCTTGACCTTTTTAGCCTGAATTCTTTGCCAAAGAACATTTATTTGATTTCTCATTAAAAATTATAAGATAAATATCTTTACGTAGTTGAGAAAGGAGAATTAGTTTGATTTTTTGATAACTAATACAGTAACTTGTCTTTTTTGTCTGATTTCCTGAATTTCTTCTCAGCAAAAGTGAAAGTACGGAACTGTGGTGAAAATATGCAAGAAAGACACAATAGTATGTGAAAACAGAATGGGCTGTAAGTGATGAGGGGAAATGGTGGATTCTGTGGATGTTAATTTTGCTTATGTGAAATCCTTTATTTGGTTGGAGATTGTGCTTAAACTTTACATCAGATAAGCTGTGAAGGCTTACTTGACTTGGATTTTTTTGCGCAGGGTGACTTTCACCCAAATACTATGCTGTAGTTATGTTAGATTGCTGATGATCTTGTCCTAATATGTAAAATACTATGCTCTGCTGTTTAGTACAGAAAGTAGTCTGGTGGACAGAACAGTGGGCATGAATTGGAAGCTCCTGTGTTTTACACTGGAGGAAAAAGACTGTGGATATCGTGGACTTCATGAGAGACAAACCAGAAATGATGTATTTATGCACCTGTAGAGACGTTAGTGATCTACGGATGAAGGGTCAGATCCTCTCATATTAGGGAAAGTGGCAGCCCTCTAGTGTGGATCTGCCCCTGGGACAGTCGTGGATGGCCACTGAGATGCACTGTGTTTGTAGGGGCTACAGAGCTGGTTTAGTGGGTGTAACACCTTATCTTTTCTACAGCTGGAAGGGAGAAGTGCTATAGTTTCTTCCATGCCTGTTAGTCCTGGCTGTCATGCTATCCTCTTCATAAGCCTGAGTGGAATGAAATGGACATGGGATCTGAGGATTACAGGGGCTGTTAAAAGCTTCCTCCTATCTTTGTTGCCCTGAATCATTTGCCATAGGGTTCATGGAGCAGATGTGAAGGATTTTCATATGTCCTTACTATTGGTTTTAGTTAGTATCTATGTTTTTTCCTTTCCTTGTTTTCCAGCTTGCACCTGGTTTTTGTTTTCTAAACATAACCCTGAGGTTAAATAAGTGCCAGAGATACCAGTTAGAATTTACAGTGCTAGGTAGTACATTTTCAATGGTGTTTGTTGCAGTGACAAGGTAGCTTGCACAGTTCTAAACTGCTGATAAGAAATTGTAAAAAGAAGCTAAAAGTCTACAGTGACTAAAGCCATGACTTTATTTTCATGCTAGTTATGGAGAAATACTTGCCCCCCCCACCCCCCAGTAAATGCTTTTCAGATAATATATTTCAGATTCTGGTGTCATATAGTCTCTCCCAACGTTATGTTTTGTATCAAAAGTTTTGTATCAGAAGTGAAAATAATTTGGTACTCCTTTCATTTTTTGAAAAAATTAATGCTAAAATAGTACTACTTCATGGCTATCAAGTACTGTGCCTTGACACAAACACCATACAGAAACATGTCAGCACTCTCAAAAGGTTAGTTGCTATTTCAGGGTGTTGAATGTGTTCTAAGTAAACACAGCCATAACCAAATAAGTGTTACATTTTTCTTTCAAGAAAATAAGTAATCAGACCATTTTGAAGCCCTAGGCAGCATGCTATTTGTTAGTCAAAACTTGTTCTTATAGAATTATATTTAAAACAAAAAAGATACATGAATTGTACAGGAAAAACAAAGTAATTTTAAGGTGAAGGAGTATAAAAAAAGAGTTATGGCTGCTCTTCAGCTATAAACTCAGGGCACTGTGCTGCCACATATATTGTATTTGTTCCGAGCTCGCTACAATATTCCTGGATAGATGTGTATTAAAAGTGAAATAGAAGACATAAATTTGGATTTCTTTACTTTTGATGGTTTGGTTTTCATGCTACGTACAGTACACTTTAACAGCTTTAGAAAAGTTTGAAAAGTCAGGCTGCCTATGATACTGTTCTTATCTCTAGTGGCATTGTTTTATAATCCTGGATAAACTGCTAGCCTGTCTAAAGCTTGGTTTCTGTACTACTATAATAAACTGTATAAGTAACTGATAGAAAGTCCTTTGTAAATGGAGGAGTGCAGGACTTGAACCTTAGTGACTGCAGTATGAGGAGCCATTGCATTCCAGAGCTTGCTCACTGTCTCAGTGTTTGACTTAGTGGTAGGTGATTTATCAGAATAGGTGGTACTGTTTCCTGTTGCCTGCTTTGGGTTGCTCCCATCACTAGCTCATAAGTCAGCATTTGGGTCCTTCTCTGTTCACCATTATCAGTTTTGCTAGGGTTCTTTAATTGAACTGAACTTCTTTCTTGATGGAAAACTTAGGGTAAGGCAAGCTGCTAAGATCTTTATGCTCCTGAGAGAACCAGAGATAATTTCTTTACTTAGTTTTATTGAAGTTTGTGGAGTGAAAAATGTTTTCCAGCTGTGTCGTTCCGGTATAATTTGCTGGAAGATTCCAGATACTGGCCAGCACAGGGGCTTAGCAGACTTGCCCATTAGTGTGATTGAGTTGAGCACATCCACAGAATCCACTTCAGATTGTGCTGTAGTTTTGAATGGGATGGGCAATGCCCTATTATTTTCATCCACCAAGATGTAATCAGGTTAGAGGAATTCAAAACAGAGAATTATGATTAAAAATTAATCTGCTTTTAGACTTATAAAACTTGTCTTTTAAAGCATCTTTAGTTCATAGGCTGTGGGCATAGCGTATTAAAGCTACACCTGCCACAAAATGAGCTAGACCAGATTTACAGCATTTTAACGGTGTCTGTTTGTGTTGTACGCATGCTTTCATCAGTTTGATTAATATGTAAACATCCTTATTTTTACCGCAGAATGAAGCCTGAATAGAGGCTTTTGTTGCAGAGCAGTTGACAGACTGCAGGCTGACCTGCTGAAGTTCTTCCTACTGTCTTGTTCCAATAGCTGTACATGAAGTCAACCTGAGACTGTGTCTTTCCGTTAACTTTGCTTGGCCTTGGCTAACCTCCCTAACCATCTTGGACTAGCAGTGGTGGTTAACAGATCATGATATGTAATTTTGCTTTTGGTATGCCTAGTCATATGGCTTTCAGTGTTTGTTATATAATTGGTATAACATCGATGCAATATACAAAGAAATGCAGTATAATATACATTAATGTATAAATGTAAATATAAATAAAAATATAGCTGCAATAAATTTTGGAAACTCTGTCTTTGAGCTGTGCCCATGGAAGACATTTCTGCCACTCACTTTCTCTCCTATCTTTCATCTAGAGGTTACTGTCACATAGGAGGCAGGGCATGTATTGGGTTCTCTGCTGTTCACAGCACAGTGCCTCTGGGATGGCTTTATGCTGTTAATGATTTTAGCTGAATTGTTGGACTGGTAAGAGATTAACTAAGATGTGGCATGGTTTCACTTTTACCAAGTCAGCCAAGTCAGCCACAATATTTACTAGCAGAGGGGAGACACTAGATTAAAAAACTTGTATGCAAATGAACTTGCCAGATGGTAAGACTTTATATTTCTACTTTCACTTACTTATTGTACTATCTTATTATTTTACTTTTCTCACTATTACTGTATTTCTTTATTCAGGAAGACCAGGTAGGTTATTTCGTTAAAGACTTGTGGTTCTGTTCTTGTGTACCTCATTTATGTGTGAGGTATAGCTTGATAATGTTTGAATATCATTTTAGATTAATGATTAAAAAGCAATTAAAAAGTATTTTTGTGTGGCTTTCTATTAAAAATTCTGCAGCTCACATGCTCAACTGGTTTTTGGTTTTTAGTAGTAACAATTTAAAAAGCAGCACAGAATTATTTTTGTCATTAACATCTATGTATGGTAGAACACACGTGGGTAGGTCTGTTGAGTAAGAAGTTACCATTTTTAGGGGGTTTACCATTTATCAGTAGTTTTTTCCTAAAAGAAAAATAAATATAAAATAAAATTGAATCTGCAGCTTTGCTGATAAACTTCCACAAGGAGGGGGAAACTATTTTATTTTGGATCCTTAATTGTGTTTTATGGATTGGTTCCAGCAGATCTGAGGCATATGAAGTTGCTTTATTTCAGGGGGTCACAGGCAATTTAAATGATAAAGTTGGCAAGAGAGAGAAGCAAATCTGTCTTGGAGTCCACAGGAATTTGCAGAATATGTGTTGTATAAAAATGCTTAACATTTGTAGAGCCTGACATCATGTTCAATGACACAGGCCATTCACCATATTGAAAATTGACCTGAGTGCTTCTGTACCATCTGATTGTAATCTAAATTTGTGGTTTATAGCTTGAAACAATTGGATGGCAGCTTAATCTTCAAATGGCAGAGTCCATGCAAGCGAAGCTGAAGTCTCCTCGAGCTGTGCTAGAGCTGGGAGTGAGCAATGAAGAATCAAAGGTAAGAAATACATGCCTGGCAGAGTTGGAATGTGTTGTGGTGATGACCTTATGTTTAAAGTTTGGAGGCATGAGTTGGAACTCTTGATTGTTGTTAGTCTCACCAGTGTTTTCATTTTTGTGTTTCATATAATTATAGTAAGGACTTCAAATTGTGAAGTATTGATGTAATAGCATACATATTGGGTAGACTTAGAGCTGTGTTACCAGCTCTTTGGACTGTAAAGTAATAGGGAAATATCATGGAATATGGTTATTTTAGGTGTCTCAAATATTTTTGTAGATGATTTTAATCACATGGCATGGATTGGTACTTCTGGTACTTTTAATGCCTAATAGCTTGCAGTAACTACCGTGCCTGTAGTTATGTAAGATACTACTCATCACGTGCAACCTTTCTGTGCTCGTGATGTATTTATATGAATGATGACATAGTACGTGAGGTCACAGAAAAGCAGTATTTGGAGGTTTCAAAGTCTTAAGTTCAAGGATTTTAGTGATTGGTGGTGTTTCAGTGCCAAAACCCACTAACGAACATAATTTTTTATTCATAAAATCTGTATCTTTGGTTAGCTAGCATGTTTTAAATTAAACACATGAGTTACTTTTAACCTTATGTTGCTAATTGAAATTGGAGTCTTTACTTCTGCTGTGTCTGTCAGAATGTTTATCTATGAAAAAGTCAGTATAAAAGATTTGAGGGGAAAAATCAGAACTCAGTTCTGCTTTAGCGTTGCATTTATGTCATAGTAATTTTACTATGTGAGTGGAAATTCTGATTTATGGTAGAATAAAAGAGAATACATAGCTTATGTTTGAGCTTCTCATCAGGACTTGCAGCAGTTGTATTTTTTTCAGCAGTTCACTGCAATCTGTATTTTTGAAATGCAAATACAGGAACCAGACAATATTTTATGTCCAAGCTGCATTGTGCAGCACTGCATACAGATTGAATTCTGTGGCAAAGCAACTTTTTAAAAAATGAGAAAAAAATGTCACTTTTATGTAACACGGAAAGTTTGTCCGTTTCCTTTACAAATGGAATTCAGGAAGTGGATTTTTTGTATTGTTTCCTCTCTATTTCTCGTTGTGGGTATAACTAGATGTCAAGATCAGAATTATTTTACAATAATTACAAGGCTAGAGTAGACTTGTAACTGGCATTTAGATAGAACAGTGCAACAAGAAGGACACAGCGATGCTTTCACGCTACAGACACTAAAATTTAAAAGCCTGGGTTGGTGTGAAGATGGTAACTGCAGGGTTTTTTTGCTGAATGATTACATCCTAATATAGAATAGGTTTAAGACTGGCTAATATCTGCTTATATACTGACAGAAGTGTTGGAGGATAATTTTTGTGCCCTTTTTGCATCTTCGTGGTCTCTTTGTGCACTAAGTATTAAGTTATCTGAAAATCCTAGATACTTCTTTTTTTTCTCCCCAAACTTATGTGTGTGCCTCTAGTGCAGAAATTCGGCATTAGTTTAGCATATATGTTCTTAATCATTGTCTTAATTTCTTACAAAGCTTTTTTAAAAATAATTCACAGATACAATGACTTGAAATTTTTTCAGGGAAGACGTGAAATACTGTTACAGAGGAGCTTTTGTGGGCTGGCTCATTAGGGGGCAGTAGTGCTCTTTGTCATGCCGGAGCTTTGAATGCTTTTTTGAGATAACTCAGAATCAATTCTGAAGTCAGTGGTTGTGGGAAGTGTTAAGTGTTTACATTTCTAATCTGTATATAACAATAGAAATTTGTCTTCCTCATGTACAAAACTAAACCCTATTAAAAAAAACGTACCGAGCAAGGTAAATGAAATTGGCCATTATTTCCACTTTTGCTAGCTGAAAGTAATTGTACTAATACGTTAATATGTACTGCAGCTCACTCCACTTAAAGATCATTTAAACAGTTCTTTCTCAGAAGCTGACATTTAAAATTACTATTTAAATTATCTCTCCAGGAGCGGTAATCAGAAAACCTGTGGATATATGTTGTTTGTGCTTCATGAAACAAAGTCAGAGGATTTGCTATATGCTATATAAATATTTATAGAGTATATTTTGTCAGCTTCAGATGAAATGCAGAGTCCCATAGGTATTATACCATGAAAATTCAAAAGTAACATGGTTTTTGGTTCTTTCAGGTGATTCAGGCTGCTAGTGACATTTGTGTTGCCCAGGAAATATGCTGTTAGTAACTAGTAGTAATTGTGATTAGACCACATGATTTTTGGTGGACTGTTTTTTCCTGGGTTTTGTTACAAATTTGCACTTTGCTTATACTTAGACACTGAATTGAACTTGATTTGGGTCCAACAAAAGTTTTTCACCGTGGGAGTGATTCAGTAACGGGATGAGTTACCTGGAGAGGCTGCAGAGTTGCCAGCCTTGGAGATACTCAGGAGTCAATGGGACAAGTCCCTGAGCATCCTGATTGAAGCGTAGACTTGGCCCCGCTGTGAGCAGGGGGGTGGATCTGGTGGGCTGCCAAACCCTGCCTTCCAGCTCAAGTTGTCCTGTGATCTAGGCTGCTTTGAAGCTCGATTGCTGATGGTGTTTTGTATGAGGAGGAGACAAAAGTTTTCAATTAAAAATCCAATTAACAGCGACTTCTTACAATGATTCAGAATTTGAAATGTTTAATTGCATTTCTAAGTCTGAAGGAAGTGGAATTTCTATGAAGTAGCCACACAAAACAAGCTGGTATGATAGGAAATTTTTGAACTGCAAGACCTTTTTGCTTCCATTCTGATATTTTAATGAGCTAAGGTGACATTTAGAACTGATCTGTAAGATACTGGGTGTGTATAAGGGTTTTCTGTAATAATATAATATGGTTTCAGATTTTTTGGGCTGTTGAGTTGCAACACAAATCTCGGGATTTTTTACAGGCTGTTATTTTTATGGCTGTAGAGTGAATTAACCAGTAGAGGGAGCACAAATTAACAATCCTGATAATCTGTGCTGCTAATTATGCTTTTGATTTGCAAACAAAGACTGATCCCGAAAAGTGCTGTGTTTATTTAATGTCTGTTTCTTTCAGTAATTTATTTAATAATTATCCACATAGGCACACACTTGCACATTCTTTCCCGCTGTTAATAGCAATAATTCCTTAGACCAGCTAGTGCAGACATTTCTAAACAACTATGATCATTTTCTATAACCACAGGAGCCGTATTAAAAAAAAAAAAAAGTAGTAAAGGCTGTAGAAGAGGTTTGAGGGCTTCAGAAATGTGACATCATTGGTGCTGAATATCACTGCAGAGGAATATGAGAAGTAGAAGTATGTTCTTAAAGAGTTTCTGCTTCACCTCTTCACTAGGAGTATCCACTAAGGCACATTACTATATAACATCTTTATTATTGTGTATTTTACACATGATCTGTAGTTAACATTTATGCTTGAAAATCATTAAGATAAATAAACGATTCTTGCCCAGTGCTGTCTTTCAATAGTTTTGGGTTTTTTTTTTCTCTAAATCCATTCCACAGATTTTGTTAGATTCAGTTATCTAATTACAATTTATCCTATGGAAGGCTTTGCTCTTTTCTTGGTTTTCCTTCTCTTTATTTCGTCTATGATTTTGTTCTTAACCATTCAGGACTTCTTGCTTGAGCTCTTTTTTTCAGTCTGAATGCTATGTATAGATTCCTTATGAGAATTCAATACTTTGTTTATTTTTTTCCTTCTTTATACATGCATTTGAAGAATTTTGTTACAGGATTTTCTCTGCCAATGCAAGACAAAAAATAACTGATAAATGTGCTAATTTGTTAAACCTGCTAATGTAATACTTTGGACAAAAGACGGATAAGTTACTATACTAATTTAGTTAATTTCCTTTTAATTAATTTCCCCTAACTTCTACATGCTGTGAAAGGGGAATATAACAATGGTAGTATTTTAAACTATTTTTTTTCTGCAACTGTTTGTTTAAAATAAAAATGAGGTCTGGCTGCATTTGAAGCTGAGATCACAATACATATCATTCTACAGAGTAAATAGAAGTCTGGAAATCTTAAATGATTATCTTTTACTTGTTAAAATAGCAGGACATGGTTTTCTGGTGTGTTTTTTTTTTCCTCCTAGTTTCTACAGACTTTCTATGCGTTTCTGGACTGTGAACAAATCTAGACTTTAGACGTTCTGCTCTGTTTACTTCAATAGGTATGCCATTCTGCTTCCGAAATTTGCCATTGTGAACACATCTTTAACAGCGGAGTAGATGAGGAACAAAGCTTTTCTTCTAGTGGAGCTAGATCAGTCGCTCAATTCAGGCTGTAGGTTCTGTGCAGCCTATATGGCATGCAGGCAGGACCTGCACTTGGGTGGATATTTAAGGAAATACAGTGGTGCTTCCCCTTCCCCCTGAATTTAGCCCTTTGTTTCCCTCTGAAAAGAAGTTATATTTGTGGAGTTGCATGACACTGAGAGTTGGTGGGTGCTAGTGATATGTTCCCACTCCAGAGAGGTAGGAGGTGGCAGAGTCGAGTATCTGTACCATGATGTATCCCCTTCATTTGCCTTCTCAGTCCTCAGCATTTGGGGTGGTGCATTTAGGTGCCTTTTTTTTTTTTTTTTTTAAATAGAGAGTAATTTGTATCTCTAGGGCCTCAAAAAAGAGACACCTAAAAGACATGATGCTGGTTGAACTGTGATGAGGTGCAAAGATTAAACAATTATAAATTGCTTCTCACATTCATCAGCTGCCTCTCAACCACTTTCTGTTCTGATGAGGACATCACCCTTTTCCTTCTCAGAACACAAGCAAGCTTGCATGTACACTTTTGAACTGAGTTTAATCTTTTCACCAAGCAGATTTTTAAGTCTCTAGCAATTGCAAAAGGTAAGTAGGACAGGCTTTGGATGAATGCAAAATGTTTAAGGATGAGATTGAGAGAAAAGGTGTTTTTCATTCCTATTTAGAGGAGGTGATTGGAGGCCTGAATAGCCTCAGATAGCACAGTCCTGGTTCAAGGTCTTTCTGAAC